TTTTACAAAAACGATGACTTAAGTCGTCGCTATCCTTGCTCCCCGAGATTACGGCCGTGTCATTGGGGCTTTATGACGCACTCAGCTGCTGGGACTATATGGCGCCGCCAGCCTCTCACCCTGACGGGAAGGGCGGGCGCCGCGGTCAATCGAACCACGTGCCTGTGGTTTCCCAGACGCGCAGTGCCTAATGCAGCCGCGTGAACCACTACACTATAGGCAGCCAGCGCGCAGGCTCAAACAGTCTGATGGTATTTTTTGTACTGATGGTATTTGTTTTCTGCAAGATAATGAGCATTCTCAGAGAAACGTGAGCTGGCCTAGAACTCATTTCGACCCACTTCATTCAGCGCTGGTGAGACGCTTATTTCCTGTAGAGGGATCCCCTTTGAGTATAACACTACGAGGGCCGCCACTCTGTCCCACCGCGGCGAGTTTTCTGGCCGTCATTCTTTGGACACGGGACGGTATCACGCCCTTAGAGAGATGCACCACATCACATTTGTCCACTCCCTGACGCGGGAAGCCTTCTGACCCACGCAGTTGACCCGGGATGGATGCATAAACCGTCGTTAACGCAACAACATCCTTGCTCACCGTAGATGGTCAAATAATTGGCACATATACTCCAGTTGGGCTTAACGGGCCCGGGCTGGAAAAGAGATGGAGGGCCCACCGTTTGGTATTGGGAGCCCTGACTGGGACAGGACTTTTCTTTTACCTCAACGTGAGCACTCATTATAAGTTCTTGTTTCCTTCAATTGCCGGAGGGCATCGACCAACGGAAGAGACCCTCTGCCATTCAGGGTTTCGTCCACGTCCCTGTTAAGTAAATCTTCCCCTGACCGATTCGAGGCCCCATGTTGACACATAATGCCTGTTAAGCACTGTGGGATCCTGAACGATACAGGAACTCGACCGATGTAAATCACGGCCTGCCCTTGTCACTGCTTGGGAAATGGGCTCCCAGAGCTCATACCAACACGGAGCTGGGTGTTCGTTGTTCATGATCTCTGGCCGAAATAGAGGAACGCTCTGTCTCAGGGATCCCTACCGGTGCAAGAGATCATCTTAATGGCATTTGATATCACGGCCCTTTGGGCGGAGGTCCTTAATGTGACCTACAGTCAGCCCTTCGGAACCTTCAGTCATCCCATCGGGCCCTTGATCTTTGGTGCCGAGATACCCTTTAGCCCCTCTTCGGGCTCCCTCAAACACTACTCCGACTCGGGACCACTTGTCGCCACAGGGCCCCTGTTCGGCACTGTGGCCCCTAACCGACGCAGAAGCCCGTCATTGTGTTAGGAACCGGAGCATTGCAAAGCGTGGGCCCCGGCCTCATTTCTGCTTGAGAAATGGGTCTCAAGAGCTCAGACGGACATGGAGACGACTGTTCGGTGTTCGTGGTCTCTGACCGACTTAGACACCCTCATTGTCTCAGGGTTTCTTAAAACAGTGCAACAAGACTTCTGACTGGTATTTCAGGTCACGACCCTACGGGCCGCGACTCTCTATTTGACCGACAGCCGCTCTCTCGGGCCCTTATGCCCTCCAACCGGACCTTTGATCGACGGTTCCGATGGGCCGCCCGGGCCCCTCTTCGGGCTTCATGAAACATTTTCCTCGCTCGGTTCGGGACGCTTACAGGACTCTCTGCCGGGCGCTGTGGCCCCTGAAAGATATAAGCCCCTCCCCCCCCCACACCAGTGTAAATTGCTGGCGCCGGCTTTATAGCTGGTTGGAAAATGGGTCCTCAGGCCCATACAGACACGGAGCCACCTACGTGGCACGGTGGTGCCCGACCGACATGCAGGCCCACATCGGCTCAGGGGATCCCCGATCGGCGCAAAGAGCCCTCTGGCCGTCAGTTGAGGGTCCGTCTTCGCAGCTTTGGGCCCCTGAAGAAGACTCCGACCAGCCCTGTATGCCTTCAGAACCTCCAATCGGACCTTTGATTGTCGGACCGGATGGGCCCTCTAGGCTCTTCGGGCCTCCTCGAACACTGCCTCTGGCCGATTCGGGGCCCTTTGAGATCACAAAGGCCCCTGTTAGGCGCTTTGGGGCCCGAGCAATGCAAATCGGCTCCAGCTTTGTCCCTACTTGGGAAATGGGCCCTTAGGTCCATGCCGCCGCGGAGCCTGGTAGCGTCTTATCAAAATGTAGGCCATTATTGGCTCAGTAGACCTCTGATCAGGGCGCAGGGCCCTCTGGCTGACATTTAAATGCCCGGCCCTGCGGGCCAGGCCCCTGAATAAGACTTCTTTTTGCTTTTCTGGCCCTGGAAAGGTAACCATGACAGGCAAGGACTTTTTATGGACGCTAGTTCTTTCTGAGGGAATACTCTGGTGCTTGCAAGTGTAAAATCAATCGGAAGTTTTGGGCGATGTAGAGTTCCGCGTCCTTTAACATGCCGGTTTTCTGGCTTTTCGGCCCTTAAACGTAGCTTCCGAGGGGCCCTCCGAGTCCCTCGAGACCTAAGGGGGGGGGGGACGCGTGTCCCCCGTGCCCCTCTGCCTGCGCTACTGCCCATACGTCACCATATGTGGCACGGGTGCTTTAGGCTCGGTACTTTGCCAACATCTTCCTCACTGTTACATTTGTTTTGTGGTTTGCGCCCAACCGTTGAACATTTGCTTATCGTGCACAAACTCGTATGAAGCAAGAGAGGGGGCCGGATAGACTGGAATTCAAACAGACCGCATGTGACCAAGGTAGCCACATGCCGATATGGGATGCCGGGGGGCTGGTCCTTCGGTTTCATCTGGGAACCAGATGGGATGCCCATATGCTACCATCTTGACCATACACGCAATAATTTTCGTGCTGTGTGCTTCCTGGTTATGTCTTACCATGTTATGTACAAATGCGAGGGACAGTTGGCGTGAATATCATTCGGATGGCTGCGCATGGGCAAGCTGGGCCCATTTCAACATAAATTCGAGGTGGGCTAGCGGAGCGTCCAAGGAGTTGGGAGACATTGGACACGTCCCCGTCCCATTAAAAAAATGGTGCGCATAGATATGTGAAAATGGCAATAATACAAATGCAGACATGCAAGTAAAATTAAGAACATTGAAGATATGCGGTGTCTGTGTACGCCATAAGAAGAAATTCAAGCGCCTGCGGCGCGCTTGAATAGGGTTTTCGGCAATACATGTTTAATTATGCGCCTCTTCCCAAGCCAGCAAATACTGGCACGAGAAAATCAAACATGATGTTAGTTTTGCAATATCACGCTGCCTTCAAGGCCAAAAGCAAGGTCAAATGATGTGGAACTCCATATCACCAAACAGTTACCTGCCGATGTCAACTTTCCAGGCATTAGTATACCTGCCAGCCCATGAACTAGCGGCCATCAGAAGTCCTGCTCTCTCAAGGTCACCTTTCAAGGTCAAATCAGATTAAAGGACGCGGACCTCACTATCGCCAACAAACTTCCGACTGATTTTACACTTGCAAGCACCAGAGTATTCCCTCAGAAGGAACTACGAAAAAAGTCTTGACCTCTCGCGGTTACTTTTCCAGGTCAGACTAAGGCTCCAATGGCGGGAACCCCATACCACCAAAATTTGCCGTTCGAATTCAACTCTCTAAGCATTAGAATATTCTCTCGTGCATGAACTAACCTCCGTCAAAAAGCACTCACCTCTGAACGTCACCTGACAAGGTCAGACACAGGCTCGGGGGACGAAAAGTGCAAACTGTCAAAAGGAAGAATCCAGTCGATATCAGTTTTTCGAGTATCAGAATATTAACCAGCACATGAACTACCTTCCGTTTAAAAGCCCTGACCTCTCGAGATCACCTTAAGGTCAAACTAAGGCCAACATGGCGGGGACCTTTGGCGATTTGTGCAGGGATTTATTCAGCAACGTGTTCCGATTTCTTGGAAAACACGTGATATGGCAAATTATGGCACGAGAACATAAAAAGACGTATATGTCTCTGGATTGATATATATATATATATATATATATATATATATATAACAGTACAATCATCGCAGTATAATGACCTCATCTAAAAAGGCCCCGGTCTAGCCTTGCCACCACACTCAAGCTAACTAGTCATTGCTTCGCTATCTGATCATGTAGCCGGGTAGTAAAGTGATGGTCCGTCGCCTTTACACTTTATTTGTACGTCAATTGTTTCCTGATTGTTAAATGTTTGTGTTGTAATCAGTTAGGTTTCCTTGATTGATCTGTGTTGTAACACTGATCTATGTCATTGCCGTAATTATTTTCTTTGATTTTCTGTCCTAGTATCTGCCCTTGCGTCTACTTGTAGCCTGCCCTGAGACTGCGGCATGACAGTCTCAATCCAGCCCAGGTGCCCGGCGGTCGGCATACAACCCAGCCAGGTGCCCGGCGGTCGGCATACAATCCAGCCCTGGTGCCCGGCGGTCGGCATACAATCCAGCCCTGGTGCCCGGCGGTCGGCATACAATCCAGCCCTGGTGCCCGGCGGTCGGCATACAACCCAGCCAGGTGCCCGGCGGTCGGCATACAATCCAGCCCTGGTGCCCGGCGGTCGGCATACAATCCAGCCCTGGTGCCCGGCGGTCGGCATACAATCCAGCCCTGGTGCCCGGCGGTCGGCACAGAATCCGGCCCTGGTGCCCAGCGGTCGGCATACAATTTTCTGTGAAGCGAAGCGCGCATCACTCAGCCACGTTTGCATATACAGTACGATAACTTGGGAAACGGCAAGAGCTACGCCACCGGCCGAACCTGAACGCCATTATCCTGAGACCTAGATAACCATGACTTTGTGGCATGCCACATAAGGTGATCATTTGAAGCTGTGAAGGCTTCAGACCTGCGGCTTCGTGTAAGTCAATCGTGAAATGCCAACCGTCTCGACCCAAGAAGGAAACTAACGACGTCCTCGGCTAGAAAAAGTGGCATTGCCTGACCCCGCGACACTGAAAGGCGCATGCACTGACTGATGAAAACCATGCATTTCAACCAGACGTTGAAAGCCGTGATTTCTGTATATTTTGTATTCATATGGATTTATCATTTATTCCAAACCGCAGTGGAACGCACAGGAAAATACACATCACGGTGGAAACCGCTCTGTTCTTCAGCCCGTTCGACGAACGGAGAAGTAAAAAAAAAACTTGACTTCGTTTGTCATTGCTCCCAGTTGTGACCCGATCGCATCAGCATGAAGGCTCTGGCTGCCGCGGCGCCAGGCTGACCAGCCCCGCGGCCGGGCTGGCGGCAGGCCCTAGGGCGGCTGGGTTGACTGCAGCGCCAGGTAGCCGATTAGCAGCGAGGTGCGCGCCGCCAGGAACAGACCGATCGAGACGACCCGCGGGTCGTCCCCGGACACCGGCAACAGGTAGTGTCTGAAACAACCCGCGCGCGACTGCTCGACCGCACCTGAGTATCTGACGCGCGCAGCCGGTGCCTGAGCCCTCCACCAGCCCTAGGATTCCCCGACTGAGCCGCGCAGAAGGTACAGCAGCTCAGCACCAGCAGAGAGTGACTCAGCAGGTTTGAAGCAACAGCAACAGCAGCCCTGTGCTCATCTTGTTGTTGAAAACTGGTACACGGCGCACAACAAGGACCAAATCTAATCCACGTCACTTCACAGCTGCACACCATCGTAACGAAATGCACGATGGCATGTACACCTGCAAGCAACCCTTGAGTCAAAACATAGTTGAATACCGGCACCCAACACAAACTGGTTTCCCCCAAATGGAGGCCGCGCGTGGTGTGCCGGTCCGTCGGCTGTTCGCTCACCTGATCTGCCAGCCGTTGTGACCCGGACCGGGCAGAGGACGGCCCGCCAGTCGGGCCTCCGCCTGGTCAGCCGGCACCGGCAGGTGCACTGACAGACGACGGGCGTCGGCTCGCAGACCCGGCTCGGTCCCCAGCAGGCCGCTGGGTGGCTCTAGCACGTAACGGCTGCCGCGGCGGCGGACCGCAGTCAGCGGCGGACCGCAGCGAGTCGCCGCCGGACGCGACCGCCCCCGACGGCGCCCTCAGCCAGGTGCGTCCCATAATGCGTAGATAAATAAGGACATATAATACCTCACAACACCTTGCATCCTCAAAAATGATAGCATTCTATGTACGGTTGGAGAAAAGGGTTATGGGTCCTGGAGTATTCTATGCATCGAAGAATATTCCCTCTGATAGCTTCTTCACTACTAGCGTTCATTTATTCCTACCAAAAAGTACCGCTTAGAACTGATTAAAAGAGACCCCTGGCCACGAGGCACAGCCCAACGTCTCACCTGACACCCGGCTCCCGCCGATCCGTCAGATCCACGCAGAGGGCGCAGCCGTCGTCCGTCGTCTTCACGGCGTACAGCACGGCCAGCGACTGCCGGCCGGAGCTCAGGCTCAGGTCACACGCAAACAGCCTGCAGCAGAGACGCGCGCTGAGATGAGCTCACCGCCGCCGCGACACGGTCCGTAATGGATCACCCGACCTTGGCAGACGAACACATGCGCGCTTGCTCCATTAAACGACGGGAAAAACTGACAAACGCAAGAAATGGAGATTGGACTGGTTCTTGCCCCTGACGTCCCTGACGTCGGCCACAGCAATTGCACAGACCAGCGTTGTCAGAACATTCGACCTGTTCAAGCAGGGTATCACACGTCCATAACACGTTAGGCGGTGTCAGAGTGCCAGAACGGCTCCCGCTGTAATACACGCCAACAGGGTGGCTCGTATCACCGCCACCTGAGCACTCAGTGAACCCGAGCGCTGTACGCCTACCTGAACACGCCGTCCTGGTCTGAGGCGTTGCTGACGGCCAGACAGCCGCCACCACTGAAGGCGTCCTTATCTGTGTGGCGCACCTGCCAGCCCGGCTGGGGTAGCACCTCACCAGCGGCAGAGACAGCTTCGAGCCGGCGCTGTTCCATCGTACGAGCATCTTCCCTGCGGTTGTGCAATGGCACGCACGTTACGATCCGCAGACGGGCGGCAGGCATGTCAGGACGCGAACAGGCAGCATGCTTGTGACGGTGCATAGATCAGCGACCGTCCCTCAGAGTCGCTGGATTAGTGGCGGGTGCGGCAGGATGACAGACTGTGGGTATGTCAGAATGACAGGCGGCGGGCATGTCAGCGTACATAAAACGGTGGCGAGTCTCACGTGCAGGGGCGTCACTTCATATACTTTCGGGGGAGCTCAGCCCCCCCCCCCCCATGCGCCTCTGACTCTGACCCTCTCAATACATATCAGCAAGGAGGGGATATTGGACCAAATAAGTGCAGAACAATTGTCTTTACTATGGGTATACTAGGTCGTAGGCGCGTAAACACATCACAATGAGTACCATCTTTATGTTGTAACAAACAGGATCCTGTAGGTGCGCGATGCTTTGTCATGCCAACTCCTTCATACGTTAAGTCGGTCTGCAAATGGTTGACAAGTTTAAAAAAAAGATAATGGGGTTTGGGATCAAGAAAAGTTTACCGCAATGTGCGGCAGCTTTTAAATTTACAGGGTCGCCCAGATAAAAGTAAATGCATGTTTTCCTAAACAGCGGCAAGTGCATTTGTCGCATAATCATGGCTGTGGTGGCTTTACAACATGATCAGCGACACTGGTAGTCATCAGTGATCCCTTGCTAACATTTACCGAGATAATTTTCGGTGAATTAAACCCCATTCTAAGATTTTCACAACAGTCAGCTCACATTCACTTGAAATGAGAAGTCATTCCTCCGCGGGAAAACAGTTTTGAAGCTACCAAATATTAAAAAGTTGTTTTTTACTTGAACATCAAGGATACAAATTCAAGTGTCCGAAATCCAGGGAGAAATCAGGCTTTTATTAAATTAGGCTAATTAGGCTTTTATTAGGCTTTTATTAAATTTGATTTTATTAAATTAGGCTACGTCAACCTTTTTGGCTGAGCTCCTAAACCGATTTAAAGGGAGTGCTCCACATTGATATGAAGTTTTGAACGGAAACAGTCATCTTGAAGACCTTTGGGTGCTGTTAACAATCCTGCCCTTCCTAAGACCTAAGACCTTTTGGTTGCTGAGCTACGCGCCAGTGAAAATGGGGAAATGTATACCGGGGAGAGTATTTCAAAGTCATCTTGGCATCCATGACATCATAATACTATCATTTAAATCCTGCCATTCCATAACTCATGCGGCGATTAAGGCCGATAAAAATATCATTGTTGAGGCACTCATATTTGACGTTCGTGAACGTGATTTCCGGATGTAACGGCCGTCAACTGGCTCTCGATCAATGTTATGCAAGGTACGATGGCGCAATCAAAACATGACGTATTCAGAAGCATATTTACTTAATAGAGAATTGTGCTGTTTGGAGCAGTCTTTTCCACTTAAAAAGTATACCATAGTTCTAAGTGAGCTTGTTTCATCATATCTGATGCTTGCTTCGATATCTTCAAATGTGAAACATTCCCTTGAAAAAGGCACTCCTGGTCACGTGACCCAACAAGCCCACACGCAAGTGTCGGGTCTCCACGGAACGCACCGTTTTGCCGAGGCGCCGAGGGCTGGTGCGCGCAGGGCAAAGCCGGCCTGCACCGGCCGGCCGTCGGCGTCGGTCAGCGCCAGCTCGGCCGGCCGCCGCGTCTGCAGGAAGGTCGGCTGCGGACTCTGGGCCGAAAGCCGATGCCACGGCTTGGCGCGTGTCACCTGCCGCCGGGCCATGACGGGCATGACGTGCACTGTACACCAGCATCACGCAGAGGAGGGAAAAGCAGACGGGGCACTCCGCACACAGCACCACACAGATGCCGCTACAGCGGACAGCGGGCAGGACAGGAGACGGGCCACCTTGGGGACAACAACTGGAAACGCCACACAGCGGAGAGGGGAGCCGATGGATGGCTCCCCTGACCACACCACACAGCCGTCGCCACAGCGGAGAGGGGAGCCGATGGATGGCTCCCCTGACCACACCACACAGCCGTCGCCACAGCGGAGGGGGGGAGCCGATGGATGGCTCCCCTGACCACACCACACAGCCGTCGCCACAGCGGGCAGTGGAGGAGGCGCACCAGCAGAAAGGCACTTCGCTGCGGGGAGTGCACAGCGGACAGAACGGTTTGCTCTCCAGGTCCCGCTCTGCAGATGGCGCCTTGCGAGCAACGGTTCCGACTGGATCCAGCGCCACATGGAGGAAATCGGGCCCACCTGGCCGTCGGCGCAGAGCTTCAGTCCGCGGCCTTGACAGAAGTCGGTGACGAGCGGCAGACGGGCGGGTCCACGGGCGCCGAGTAGTGTCGAGAGCCGCGACCACAGCACGTCCTCGGCCAGCGCGAACCGGTCGGCGCCGAGCCGCTCGTGTGTCCATCCGGGGGCGAACAGCGCCGTCGAGAGACCCAGCCAGCGCGACTCGGCCACCGGCTGCCGGCGACGCATCGCGCGTCGGGCGAGGCGCGGTACACACACGGGGAGCGAGACACAGGGAACGTTATAAAGGGAGAGTGAAAGAGCGCACGGACGAGGGCAAACATAAAAAGGAGATGATGAAATCCATGATGTACGTGAAAACAGGCGATTCAAAGTGACGGGAAGATACTGCGGTAGGCTTAACAGCATGGCCGTTACAAAGCAACACAACACAGGATAGGATGATCACCACAGAGCGCGTCGCTTTTTGCTGTCTTCTTTGCGCCACTCGGACGTGCCGCAGCCCCAAGCGCCGCCCGTGACGAACACGCCGAGCATCTCCAGTCCAGCGAGCGTTCGGCGGCGCCCGCAGCTGACCGCGGGAGACGGTGCACCTGGATTACGTTGAATCCGCCGCCACCCAGCGAGCCACGGCCGAACATGTCGACGCCGGCGTACAGGTCGGCGCGGCGCCGGCCGGCCCGCTCGCCCGACGCCGCCAGCCGCTCCGGCGTCCAGCCGTAGTTGAGGAATATGCCATCACACAGATCGAAGTAGCACCTGCGAGCAGCATTCGGGTTGTTACGCTCGCACACGGCTTGGTTGCTGGTCCACCGGATATACGTCCTCCCTTGCTGGCAATGTTCACTGCGGCATCGCAACAGCCAAAAGGTACGCGACGTCCGATGAACCATCAGACCTAGTGCATATATTCAATTACTCGTCAGGAGTCATTACGAGAGAGGCCGCAGGCCAAGCGAGCATCCCGTCAACAAACCGGAATTTACGTGGCTTCAGCGCTCCGGCTCGGCTGGGCATGTCACGCCTTTTGCGGGCTTAAATCTTTGCAGCCTCTGGCCGTAATGTCTTTGAGTTTTCGTCTACAAGTGGCCCAGATCTTTAATCTTAAACCCTGAATCTCTTAACCTTGAAAGCCACTCAAGGTACTTCAATTCCAACCGTTTGATCAGACAGCATATTTGTACAGCGTCATAATGTCGCCACCGTTTTCACCTTTCGACCCATTAGACTGGAATACAAAATTGTCAAATCGAGGGAACAGGTGTAAAAAAGGTACTGAAAACGCAGGTCGGAGAAACAGGTGTAGATCTCGGCGCACGGGCATCGCAGCGCGTCTCCGCTCGCTCGAGGTCATATCCACAGAACCATGCGCAGCAAAGAAGAGGCAGTTCGCGAGGACGACTCTACTGGAATTAAGTTAAATGTTGATGGAAAGTCTACGAATGTAACGATTTAGATGACTACATCTCAGCGGAGAGACAGCCAAGCCTCTGATGTATGTTCGATACATGATCGTACATTCTGCGGCTGAAAATGGGCGGAAGCAAAATCTCATACGGAAGGAGAATATAATACGGAAGCAAAATCTGATATGTTTGCATCCTGGCCATCTTTAGCTGTGAGCCGTTCCCGTTCACTTATATGCATAAATGGAACTGCGACAAAATCCACGCGCTCACCAGGATGGTTAAGGCTTGGCCGGCGGGCGTAGAAATAATTGCAATAAAAGTTTCTACGCTAAAGAGCTTCTTCAACAAGCATGCATATCACGTTGCCGAGATGTGCTGTAAACCATACTGCTGAATACTGTCACATGCTATTCCATTTTCATGGTTACATGCCAGATTACAACCAATGTCTCGGTCCAATGAACGACGTATGATGATAAAAATGACGATGATGCTTCCCGCAAACTCAGTTCTTTAAATCATGGCGTACCGTTTGGAAAAATCCTTCAGTCTTCGTTTGATCTGAATGTTTTGAATGGATGGTTACCTGGGATCAGACCTCATGCTAAACAGCGCTCATTCTGTAAACGTGAGCCGCAATGATCCACACAGCCCACCCCGCCATCCAACTTCATCTGATCTTCAGCTATGCTTAGGTCAGATGAGTCTTCCCTTGCGCTTAGTTTTTTCATGCCTTCTCTAAAACACCATAGGAAGGATTCATCAGTCTCTGTAAAAATATGAAGCCGCACCAAGCACCGCACGCACGCACGCTATCACGCACGCACGCACGCACGCACATTATGTATATGCGTGCGTGCGTGCGTGCGTGTGGTGTGTGTGTGTGTGTGTGTGTGTGTGTGTGTGTGGTGTGTGTGTGGTGTGTGTGTGTGTGTGTGTGTGTGTGTGTGTGTGTGTGTGTGTGGTGTGTGTGTGTGGTGTGTGTGTGTGTGTGTGTGTGTGTGTGTGTGTGTGTGTGTTGTGTGTGTGTGTGTGTGGTGTGTGTGTGGTGTGTGTGTGTGTGTGTGTGTGTGTGTGTGTGTGGTGTGTGTGTGTGTGGTGGTGTGTGTGTGTGTGTGGTGTGTGTGTGTGTGGTGTGTGTGTGTGTGGTTGTGTGTGTGTGTGTGTGTGTGTGTGTGTGTGGTGTGTGTGTGTGTGTGGTGTGTGTGTGTGTGTGTGTGTGTGTGTGTGTGTGTGTGTGTGTGTGTGTTGTGTGTGTGTGTGTGTGTGTGTGTGTGTGTGTGTGTGTGTGTGTGACCCTTTACGATGCGCAAGGGACGATAGTTTCCCGATTACAAAATAGGGATCAGAAAATGAAATGGCCGAAATATAGTGAAATTCTGTGAGAGGGGAGGCACCAAGTTTCAAGTCACCCGGTTCGAGTTCCGTAGTGCAGGGTGGTCTCTCCCTTAATATACCCCTGGATTCGCCCCTCGTGGTACGCCTAAAAACTGTAAAACGTTGTTTGTAGCTTCCACTGTGCCTGCGGAGCATCCATGGGGGACCCGCGCAGCACGAAGCGGACTGCAAAGACGCGCTTGAATTTTACATTCATTCACAGATGTCTGTTGTCTAAAATACGGTGTGCTTCATTTCACCAGCACAGTACAGGAACCCGCTGAACCAACAGCTTAATAATTCAATTTTGTTATATCTCGGGGATATACACAAATAAACACAAACACTTCAATTTGAGATGTACTTCTAGTTTTCCAAACTTTAAATTATCTTTATTTCAAAGAACTGTTTTTTTCAAAGAACTGTGTTAAGTATTGAGCGCCAAGTTCCACATTGTGGAAGTTCCGTTTAGTATTCTGGGCGCCCAGCCCACTATTGCGGAAGCCCGGCCCAACATTGGCCGGGGGGGGGGCGGGGTAAGGGGGTAGATCAGCATTGGGGAGCTGGATTTTGTTGGGGAGCATGGCCCCATTGAGATAAGAAGTTCCACCCCTTTTGGGTGGCATATTTCTGTAGCGTCGTAATGTGGTCACTGTTTTCCGTTTCGACTGACATAGGCAACGTGAAGCCGCCAAACAGACAAATGGGTTTAGAGAAGCGCGGAATACGCAGGTCGGAAACGAGTGCAGATCTCGTCACCACTTGTCGTGTAGAACGTGCCGCAAAGTGTGTTTAAAATTTCAAACATTGCCGGTGAAGTCACTTATATACTTTCAGGGGGGGGGGGGGGGCTGAGCTTCCCCCTCCCCATAATGCTCATCTGAGCCCTTCAATGTATATGAGCAAAGAGGGATTACTAGACCATATAAGAAAAGAACGATCATCAAATCTTGATGTACGAAGTAAAAGGTTCCTATGAGCACATCATTATCAGTCTCATGTTAATTTTGTACCAAGAATGTCCTGTATGTGCCTAATGTTTTTGTCACGTGAACTGCTTTAACTGATCAGCTAGTCCGCAAATGTTACTAATTTTTTTCCTAAAAAAAAAAACGCCTGGATTGGGATGGAGAACAATGAACTGCAGCATGCGCCAGCGTTTGAAAGTACGGGGGGCGGGGCGATTCATGTTAACGCATGTTCTCCCCAACAGTGGCTAGTATATTTGTTACATAACCGTGGCTGTTGCGGTTACGCAACAGGATCAGAGAAAGCGACGGTCATCAGCGATCCCATACTGAGGTATATGAAGTTTTCTTTTTTCTGAATCATTCTAAGCTTTTCACAAAAGCGTTGTTCAAATTTACTTGAAATGCAAATTTCTTCATCCGCAGAAACACAGCTTCGATTCCACGAAACATTGAAAGGTTTGATTTATTTCACCATCAGCATCAAGTGGACGACATCCAGGACAAAATCAAGCTTTGGACGCAGGTTATGCCGACATCTATTACCCTGGATTCGGTCAACCTCTTCGGCTGGGACCACCCAACCGATTGTAGAACGTGAAGTGACGTGACGTGATTTTAGAAGTTAGCTGAACTCCCAGTGAAATGACACATGTAAACTATACACAGATTGCGTAGGAGTTCCTGCCGCAATCAAAAGACCAGATGACTGAAGGTCCAGGCCATAAAATACCAGAAAATCAAACGTCACATACGAACACATTGCGCATCGCGTTATGCCGGCCTTCTATAATACAACACAAGGTCCAAATAAGCGGGCATGCTTAGGGGATTACGCTAAACTGTGATATTTTCCCAAATAACATTCAGGTGTGATGGCCGAAAGGCCGGCGATTTCGACGTGGGTTTCGAACCCCAGTCGCACCATGGCCCCTTGGCGCTAATATGGCCTTTGCACTTGCTAGCTCTCCATGAAAGGGGTGTGCGACCACGTGCGTCGCGTTCTCTTTTGTAAAAAAGCCGACAGGATTGTGGGGCAGGAAGAAGTCGACCCTCGCCCCCCTTTCTTCTTCTTCATATCCTGGTGGAGTTTGATGTGCGGGTGGCAGGAAAGGGATTTGCGTGCAATCACTTATCATTTTGCTTAATTTTCTTCAAGAGCGGTCAACATCGGGTTACTAGCATTCCGAAAGGTTTTGAAAAATTGTCATATTGTGGCGTAGCACCGAAAGCGGGGTTATACCGCCCTTCGCTTCCCGGTACAGTCTGTCCGAGTGTACCAATGGTTGCGGTCGCCTGACGTTTAGAAACCCCAAATTTGCAGGAAAAGTAGCCTGTGTGTTCTCCATCGGGTAAAAATTGTCCCTATGACCCAGGTCACGTCGTTCTGACTCGACGTGGGTGGAACGTCTCGACATTTCCCACTTTCCTTTCTTTAGATTTGCCCCCGTTTTCTTTTCAGTGTTCCAGATCTGAAATTTCAGGCGATATCGAAGTTCCTACTGCATCATATGACCACGGATATCCTGAAACTTTGAAGCATACCAAAGCCAGTTTACCTTCGAGGCATATTGCCTTCTTACAACCGATCCAGGGCTAATTAAGAAACCATCATCCTATCCTTTACACGGCAGAGACCGTTCGTTCATTTATCTTTCATTTCTTCTCATTGAATCATGCTGTGAAAACTAACCAGTAACTAAGCAGCGTTTCTTCTCACGACACGGCTCATTCACCGAGAAACCTAACTGCAGGACAGATCCCAAACGACTCCTGCACTGCTGGACCCGTTACTGCACGCTTCATGTGCCCTAACGACTGCATCCACTACAAAGAAGCCACACCTCATCCCTTCCGGTGACACCTGAGCAGTACATACAGGTGTCATCTGTACCGAGAACACTTTCTAATGGCCTGTTTTTTCCTACTGCTTCTTTTCTCTTCTGCTGTAGCTCGCTTTTGCTTTTTGCAAGGCGTTAACTGGTTTTTCGCTTAGGCATTCTCTTCCAGCCACCATTTTACAGGATAGCTGGTCATTATGAGGGATGTGCCTCTCTGTTTCCGACAATTTTGGTCTTTTGGGGACACAAAGACTATTGGAAGAGGGAGTATGTCACCTATTGGACTGTAAGGTGACGGTGTAGCCGGGGTGTCAAACCACACCGAAGTTGCCACGGTGCCACGTTGTGCCGCTGCTACCGACGTGGCGTGCCGCGATCGTGTCGGTGCTGCCAGGGCGCCGTGCTGTGCCGATAGGCTGCAGGACATGTGAACAGTGTGATGGTATGGTCACGATGTCTACGCCGTGTTTCCGCGCTAGGGCGATGACGTCCAGACTGACATGGCTGCTATGGTTGTTCATAACCAGCAAAACCCTTCTATCAGCCGCGGGAGCGGCATGCTCGACGAAGTGCCAGAACCACTGTACAAAAAGTCCGAGGCTGATCCAGCCGTTGTCGCTACGGCGCATATGGTTCCAACGGGAGTGTCCTTGGTTAGTGCCGGGTTCTTCTTTTTCTCCCACCGAAGATCATCACTGGTGGGACAGTCACGCTCGACGCGCTGATGCACCCCACAATCGTCGTCAGCTTGCCCCGTTCTGCTGTCGTAACTTGGCTGACCTTGCGTTGTCCTCATTCAGCCAGCACTTTCGGAATTTCAGGCACAGATTTCAGGCCAGTTTCATCAACACTGTACACCTTATGATGGGGGGTACAGTCCATGCCCTGATATTGCGCACGTCAGGTTGTCGTAGAATTTTCCCATGTTGTTCTTGTCGACGCCTTCCAGTCTTGCCAACTGTGGCCTTGGGCTTTTCTGGGCGAAATTTTCGGATGCCTTTTTAAAAAGCCAGTCTGAGCCAGCCAGTCTGGGCCAGCGCACTTCTTCTGGTGATTGAAGGGCTGCTTTATCCTCTGTCTTTCGGCGTATTCGTATGCAATCCTGGCCAACGTCTCTCTCGATATACCGCAGTACATGCTGGGCAGGTACAGAATTCGCTGCTCCAATTCTCCTCAAAATGGTTGGACATGACTGTCTTTTTCCCGACGCATAGAGGGTCATCTGGTTCTAACGGGCCGTCGTCTTTTAGGCGATCCATGAAGGTTGAGCGGGGCACTCCAAACCTCTTATAGGCCTGCCGTATTTTCAGGCCCCTACGTACAGCTTTTGCGGCATTCTTCATGGACTCTGGGGTCCGAGATCCTCGGTCAGATGTTCGAATGTAGTTTCGAGGCATTCTTGATAGGAAAAGGCTAGGTAATAGGTACAACCACAGGTGGTGCCATCAATTTTTGGGAGGGGGGAGGGGACGAGACCGTAAAATCATCACCACACTTGAATGCAAAATGGATGATAAATCACGCGTTTAATAACCGGTATTCCCGTAAATGATCAATGTGGTGCAAATTCCCCATGCGCTATGAGTTGCACCGCCGCAAGGCATGGGTCCCGAAAGCCGGGGATAGAGGAAGTGGCCGAGGGCCACCACTTTCCGAAAATCTGGCATTGGCCCGGTGGAAATTGACTGGAAAAAAATAATCTAAACGAATATTTCACTTTCACTTCCACTTCCACTCCCTCACTTTCACTCCCTCTCACTTCAAACGAGGCAGGGCATCCGATTTCCATGCCGGTGTTTTTTTATCACAGAAACAAGAAACAGGGGAACCTTCCCCAAAATATGCCTGAAGAATTTATTTACTGCAAGCAGTTCAGCCCCAAAATCCGATTAAATCAGAGCGTCCCGGTGCCGTAACCCCCGCTTCGGCGTCACAGTCGAAAGGGCCGTTACCTGATGATGTGCAGTATCAAGTATTCTTGATATTGAGGTGGGCGATGCTTCCCAAAGGGCGATGCTGCCCCTCCCTCCCCTAAATGTGCCGATAGTTTGTAAACGACAATTAAATGGAATGTCCCATCTGTGGGGCGTATTTCAGAAACATGCACCAGTGGAACCTCAGGATTAGTTACATCTTATAAAAACACTGGGTAGTGCTGGAGCAGCACTGTCAATACATCATAAGGATATCACTTTTGATTATTTTATAGTCCAAATTGTGCTGTCAACGATTTGTAACAATGCGCTGCTTTCCTGCAGTACCGACCACCGTCGTCATGACAGCGACCATGCGCACCTCTACTGGCGCGAATAAAAGAAAGCCTGCGATTGGCCCAGCGGGCGAGGGCTTGTAGGGTTCCAGGGTCGGCTTTTTCAAATCGAAACTCGGGGCTGTTCAGGATTTCGAGAAAGCTGGTATTACTGATGAAATTGTACGCGTCCGGTGAAACAAGAAGTGAAAAAGTACAAAAGGGTGGGATAGCCCATTTAATTAAATATTTGAACACAAATGGATGAATTATAAACCGTAACTTTGCTGTTAAGTTGTTGACTCCTTTGAGGGATATGTTACCTAGCGTCGTTCTTGACGCTGACGTCAGGATATGTCAATGACGTGACATAAACACCAATGAACTTTTCAAACAGGGAGACATAGAAGTGTCACTTTGTACACTGGGGGGGGGGGGGGGAGGGGGGCTGCCTCCCATCTCCAATGTTGACTTGAGCCTCTCGAATGCTCTTCTGAGCCCTTCCTTCAGGACGCCAATCAGCAAAAAGGAATACTGGGCGAAGGAAATGCAGTAAGTGCCTGGGCTGCCAGTACACTACGTACCTAAACGCAGCACTATCAATATGATCACCATATGTCATCATTGTCACTGCTGCACCGCCTTTAAATGCGAGGGCATTCCTCAATTTCAAAACAATTTTGGAGCCAAATAAACCATTTTCATTTAAATTTTGACATCCAGGAGCAAAAGAAAGTGGCCAAATTCAGATGGGAAATCAGTATTTGGGATAGGTTAGGTTAACTTTGTCGGCTCAGTTCGCCCTGTCCACGTTTTTACAAGACTTTACCCTCGGGAGACAGAAGCTGCAAAGTTAAGAGAAAAAACAGGGCACTAGCAAAATCCCCATCGTTCGGCACTGGACGGTTTGGAATATGTCTTCAAGCATCTTAAATTTCACCTTGATATACAAAGAACATACCTGAAATAGGTTCTGGTACACCCAACCAACTTCAGGAAAAACAAAAAGGTGAGAGAGAGAAAAGCGCCACTCACTCGTTCTGTTCGTTGAGCTGGTCCTGCCAGCGGAGCTCGCCGTCACGGGTCACTGAGTCATACCAGATGACACGCGAGTGCTCAATCTCCTGGTGCATGCGGCTCGTGAGTTGGGCTACCAAGTGCCGTAGCAAGGGCAGCTGTTGGAGAGAACACACAAGGCGCTTCAGACTACAAACAGAGAACGGCCACTCTCACTGGCCAGGGCTTGGGCGTGCCGTCGCAAGACGGACGGTCAGCGCGTGAGGAACGGCCACGGAGAAAGTCACCCCCGAAGCTCCGGCGGCAGCGGCAAGTTCCTGCTGTGTGCTCGCGAACTTCTGGGCGAGACGCACGCGATGTCAGCAACAGCTGTACTACCTGCGAACCGAATGTGTTGAAAGCGTACTCGGCTAGGCGAGAGACGCGACGCAGTCCATGAGGGCAAACACGCGATGCAGCCCGCAAACTTGGGGCGGCCGCTAGACCCGCCGTCGGCTGCTCGGCGGACCGCTTGCCTGTGCAGGATCGATAGCGTTCTCGATGTTGAGCAGCCACCCGTCCAGACCGTGGTGGCGGCTGACGGCCACGAGCCGCTCCACAACCACCTCCACCACTTCCTGCGAGCGCAGTAGCTGCTGACACGTCTCCTCGCCGGCCGCCGACTCGGTGATGATGGTCCCTGCCGGCAGGCCCGCGGTGATGATAGTCTCTGCGAGCAGACACGCTGGGGATGATGGTCCCTGCGGGCAGACCTGCTGGGGATGATGGTCCTTGCGGGCAGACCTGCTGGGGATGATGGTCCCTGCGAGCAGGCCTGATACTGATGATGGTCCCTGCGAGTAGACCCGCTGGTGATGATGGTCCAGACCCGGTGGTGGTGACGGTTCCCGTGGAGGGAGCCAAGGATGATGATGTTCCCTGCCGACGGACCCAAGGATTATGATGGTTCCTGCAGGTAGATCCGGTGGTGATGATGGCCCCGCGGATGGAGCCAAGGATGATGATGGCCACTGCTAACGGACCCAAGGATGATGATGGTCCCCACGGAAAGACCCGGCGGTGATGATGGCCCGTGGAGGCGTGGACGGGCCCAAGGATGATGACGGTCTCTGTCAAAAACCCGGAGGAGATGATGCAGCTTGAACGCAGCGGGCGATGGTCTCTGCGCACAGACTGAGCCGTGATGATTGCCCCTGTAGACAGGGCCACTGATGCTGATGGCCCCGACGCAGCATATTCCGACGTTGGTTTACGTACTAAGTTCGAGTAAATATCATATTGCAATGTACAGAAGACCAATATTGCCAGCGCATCGAATTAAAGATTGTTGGAGGGTGTGTATTTGCGAGCTCCGGGTGGTCGCCTCCATAATCTACGTTTTGGCATAAGTGAAGCTTGTGTAATGTAACTGAAACAAAGGCCGTCACTTATGGGAACGCCATCCGAACACCGATGTAACGCGTCGGTTCTGCTTCCGACGCAACAGGTGATATCAACTGCTTGTTGGGAACACGATGGGAAAGCCTTCCGTTATTGGCAACGGCTTCTAACGCGACGTCAGAAGACTGTCTAGAATAGTCCAGCCGCTTTGGAAGCACTGTTATCAGTCCTTCGCAATATCGCCCTTCAGGCTTTAGAGCTGTGGTCACTTGTATGAAAGAGCAGATCATTACAGTTTTCGGCAGTTTAAATCTAGGGATGGCCCTCCTCAGGGACCAAACAATTGCTTTACTTTCCTACGGCTACGGAAGTTGTTAAGTACATTTGCGAGGAATATCATGCATATAGATAAGACAGTAGTAATAGCCTTATACCTCTTAGAAAAACCAAGAGAATGAAGAGATAAATGTGTTGATATTTCGGCAACATGCCTTTATCGAAACGAATGGCGGAAGTAAATAAATCTACCTACCCCTTTTAATATCAAAAGCACATAAATTTAGTTCTGCTAATCGTTTCGATAAAGGCATGATGCCAAAACATCGACGCATCTATCTCTCCATTATCCCGGTTTTCTACGAGGAATAAGGCTATGGCTACTACCTACGGCTACGGCTCGATCATGACTGCGGTATTGTGTCTAGTTGCTCCAGGTACAGATCCATCGCGCGCTATGCACTGGCACCGCCTAGACAGCCTAGATGCCATACTCACCGTAGATGGGCACACCATGCGTATGGGCTGCATCCACCCAGCCGCAGGGTGGAACGGTCACAAACTGATGGCTGAAGTAGACAAATTCGTCGATTCGCGACCAGTGATAAAAGGTGTACGCAGAAGAGTCGTCGTGACCGTCGTGAAACCTGAAACCACGGCAAAACAGCTCACATACTATGATATGACCCCGCTCCGTGCTGAATTCTACATAAAAGCACGGTACAAGTTTATCTTTTCAAATCAGCTTTTAGCACTGCATAAGACTTGCTGTCCCCCATACATTTATAATCTAGAGCTTGAGAAATCGGCTCCTTCATAGTTTGGGCGAAGATTATGCTGTAGAGTGGAAGCACATCACATATTTCCTTGCTTCACTAGAGCCAGGATCATGTCTAAAATGCTTAGACAGCACCTACGAGACGTCGTATCTTCAACTTGATTGCCTTACTGAATGATATCTTTCTTTGTCGCTGCCGCCCAAATTTGTCTCAACACGACACTGATTCCGGCATCTCCGGTGCGTTTACACTCCCTTCACGGTCATGATTTTCCTCTACTTTAATATGTCAAGTGACGTCGCAGTGATCTTTGGAATGCTGCCCAGTCTTGTGTATGCCAACAATCATAACGCACAGGGCATCTTTTGAGTCTGATCGTCCACCCCGATATCACCAGTCGAAACATGCTTAGAACACCGCAGTGAGATTCATATGTTGGAAACATTTTGCTATCTATGGAGAACACTGCTGTCACCGTACTCACAGCAGGAGCCTGGCATTAATCAGGACTGGGCCTCTGGTATCGCTGCCTTTCCCACCCACAGCCTCGTTGTGATACGCATTATATTTTGCGATGTTTCGAGCTTTGCCTTGCTAAACAAGCATCATGCATATCTTTCTTTTCTAAATAAGCTGTCCAATAATACAACGCCAACAGAATGGACTAGAGATGATACGGGGTTCAGGGCGGAGGGGGGGGGGGGGGAGGGGTACAGGGAGTCCGGACCCTGAGCTTCGGAATACCCGAAAAAGGATACATAGGCCCCTTGGGAGGGCTCTTTCGGCCCGCGAAACGCGAAGAACAATGACAGCACAGCATGATGATAAAATATTCCTTGTCAAAGCGTAAGTTCAGATCGCAGCAAATCACCCTTTGGGAATGCTCAAAATAACCCATCTGGAAACCGGGAGCCCCTCTGACTGTTTAGTGGGTCTTTTGTGTCCATCAAGTGCCCTTCAGTCGTTTCAGGCTCCTTATCCCTACTTAAGGCCCTCTGGACTTCCAAATTCCCTTCAAGACATCAATGGGGCATCTGGACTGCCCAGTAGGGCATGCCATCAGTAACAAAAGCAAGTGAGACAAAAAAACTATTTGGCGCAGGAGTCCAAAATATACGGCATAGCGAAAGTTCTTTCCAAAAACTTTAATTCGTTGGGCGCAAGTCGATCAAATAATCGCCGTTAACCAAACCCGGCGTTGCAGTCACCCCATGCTGGGCGGCGTCCGCCGCCGCAGGTAACACCAAGCTGCGGGCGGCAAGCGGCACAAAATACCTTTGAGTATAGAAACGATGCTACTGGAGCGCTCCTTAAGCCGTCGTACGAGAATGTCCCGGTCTAAGGTCTAATATGCGGATCAGACATTGCCCGATTGATTGCCATTTGGCGGAAACTTTATGTGTTGTTGAGTATGAATTCGTACGAATATGCTGGTCAGTATTGGTTTAGACTTTCGCTACTCTAAGACAACTCGCATGATGCAAACAAAACTATGTATAACATATGACTCAGAATGTGTTGTCTGCTGTACGACCTAATACATACAGCAAGTTCTGCAGCCTGTACCACGGACGCAGAAACGGGGGAGGGGGCGGGTAGGCTCACACCATGCACATCTTGCTCCTTGCCGAGCCTGTGTATTCGATTGCACCGGCCCAAACAGCAACTGCTAACAGGCTGGAAACGCAAAACGCGTGTTGGCAGAGATCGCACAGTAGCAGAAATACATTCGCAGCTGGGCTCCACATACTGCCGAAGCTCCAGCTCCAGCCACCAGACGTTCTCGGCAGTACGGCGCTGCGTCGCACTCCTAGTGTGAACCAGATAGGGCAATATGGCCAGCGGTGCCTGCACTTTGTTCCGCAGCTCGCAGTCGCTGAGGTATCGCAGTGGAGGCTGTGTGACTGGTCCGTGCCAGGGAATCAGTTCGGTGTACATCACGGCCTCGACGTTTACCGCTGAGATGGTGAAGACCCTGGGCTGAAGAAGACCCTCGGTTTGCTGCTCACGAGCGGCGCAACGATCGGAAACCGCCTGTTCACGGATCATGTGGTTCTCATCGCTGCGGCAGGGCGCGGAGCAGCGCAATGCTCCGGAACAAGTTGCGTAAGCCAAAGTCGCAGCCGCTGTTTTACCGGATGGCGGACCATACCGGCACATAGTGGCCGACGACGCACTGGACGAGGTCCTTAAGAGCGCAGCTGGAGGTCTCGGTAGAGATGTGACCTAGGAGCAGACGAACGGCCAGTGTCAACCACCTGAAACAAAGCGAATATATTAGAACAATTCGCTAAACTAACCGTTAGATCATAAAAATATTGCGCCTCTTAAGTGTGTGTAATTCTGTCGATATCCGGAGTCCTTAAGTGTGACAGAAAACTTATCAACAAATATGCTAGTACGCATGAACCAACCAGCAAATGATGCGACGGTACTACGGCACAGGTATGATAAGAGTAAATGCTCAACAGTGAGCACATGCAACATCAATTGATACTTGATGAACTTTAACCACTCATTGCTATAACTTCGAAGATAATGCGTTCCCATATTTACCTGACATGATCGATGGTCCGATTCGCCACTGTGCTGCCACGTTTCGGACAGAGCCGTTTTGAACGCCGGAGGCCAGAAAGTACAGCAGCTGCTGGTTGCTGCTCAGCTGCTGAATCAGGTCGACCGGCAGGATTGGCACGTGCCCCGACACAGGCTTGAATGCCACAACGTCCCTCTCCCAGACCTCTCCGGCACAGGTCTTGCCGATGGGTCCAGACAAATTTCGATCCCGTGACGGTGCCGTCCAAGCTCAGCAACAGATGGAGGAGGTTCAGCTCATTGCCGTGCAGCTGGCAGATGAACCAGTGTACGGGTGATTCGGGGGCCAGCTCAAACAAGCCGGTCGTCTATCCTTTCGGTGTTGACGGCCGTGCCATCGCATCTGAGCACATTGATGTGACATTTGCGCTGCGGGCTCACGAAGTGTAACTCGTTGAGCAAGTGCAGGGCGCGGCCGAACTCGGACGTAAAATGAGTCACGTAGCGGCTGCCTAGCTCAGTGATGACAACCGCGTGTTTTCGACGGCATTCATTGGCTCCGCGTGGTTCATGTAGCTCCTGCCTTCGCGCCCATCGGAGCAGAGGATGGTCAAACCTGAATCGTGGATTGCTTCAAAATTTTAAGAAGCCCTCTCCTTTCTCGCTCTGTATCTGGCGCAGCATATCTTCTTAGGATCTATGGTATTTGATTTCAAGCAGCCAGACCGTCTCCCCCGTCTTGTTGAAAGGCGTTGACGATAGCAGCAACAGCTGCCTGGTTCGGGCCATCGAGCCACCTTCTACCAGATACGGAACCATGTAAGAATCCCTGCTCTCGGCTGACTCGCCAGCGCTGAGACCACTTGGTCCCGGAGCAGGCTAGGGGACAGCACTAGCAGCCAGCGCTGGCTCAGCAGGCGGCGCGGGCTCAGTAGTCTGCGGGGAAGGCGACTCAGGTTCAGCAGCAGACACCGTCTCACTGTCGGCCGAGCCACGACGCTCCTGGAGATGTCTAGCCATCCTCCGCACCTCACGAGCCTCCCTGGTCACAGTCGTATCCCGGTGATATGACCCACAGGGTGAGCTTCTGGTGCCTGCACTGGTCCTTCATGGCAACCTCCTCCTGATACACTGTTAAGGCAACTGGGCATGGAAAGCTGCACTGAGGCTTGCATTTACATTCGCGACGTCAAGAAGCTTGTTGAATTTCACGGTGTCTTCCTTTCTTTGATTTCTTGCTGATAGCTCTGTTGAGATGGTATCAATCCCTCTCGATCAATTTGTCACATATTCTAGATTATGAACAGGGATCGCTTCGTTGGTTCACAGTACCCCGAGTTCTGCCGTCGCGGTCTTGAAGTGGAAATTAAAGAGATTCCTCTTCGATTTCGCTCAGCCACCCTGATGTAGCTCAATGCTTTCCGTAGTCGACAGTTGGTGGTGGGACAGTAGAGCCGGGTGGCTTATCACAAAATGTTTTGTGCGCGACCGTGTAGCCTTCGGCATGCTTATGCAAGTTAATTGTTGGAAAGAAATGTTTCAGCACCGGCAAAGCTAAACTAATAAAACCAAACAACTTTTGCCACGCAAAAAGCACATAAATTCCAAGCCAACCATCACAATGATGCGTTAGCAATAACAAACTTGAAACCTAACCCGACCTGCTGGAGCAATCTCATAACTGCACAGCTCCGGGTTGCACCAAAATTAATGTTTTTTACTAAAAAGTAAGCTTAAGAGCTGCTTTGGCAATGTTTTGCTGGTGCTCATTATAATCTACTTCATACTTAACCCACCACGTACCAGGAGCGTGGAAAGTGCAGCTTTGAGGCTTGTTGGAGGATGATCCCAGTGCGTAACGTAGGTGGCGCAAGTATTGAATACGGTTTTCTTGGCCTATCAAAGAAAAACTGCTCTCGCCTCACGAATATCGACACTGGTGCGGTGCGACAGACCTGAATGTTAATCATTAATCCGTGTGCCAAAGAAAAACTTTGTCTCAGCTGATTACAAGAGATTCACCCAACTGCCCAGGGCCTACTTGGTCGCTCAAAGTCCTGTATGCTGAGGCCTCTCTGGTCTCTTATGAGCACTTTTAGTTGCTAAGAACCCTTCTGGCCATTGAGAGGAGCTCTACATACAAGAAAAGGCTACACACTTTTGAAAACAATGGTCCTCAACCGCGCCGCAAATACATTTAGGTAATTTCGTTCTTGTTTGGAACGCCTTTTCTTCGTTCGTTTCAGTGAGCACGCATTGCAAACCTGCTGTGTTTCTGGGGTACACTGCTCCAAGCTGTTATGTCTCTGAACGGAGGGCGACCCTTCCGATCC